GGAGCATCAGCAGCCCCATTCCTGCAGAGCTCATTAGCTGCTTAACCAGCAGCTGCCTGGTTTCTCCAGCTCTTCCCTGCCTGGGCACTCACTGCTTCCAGCCAGGCAGGGACAAGGACCGTGGCCCCAAGAGCTCTTCCATGGCCAGTCACCATCACTCCTCCCCAGATCTCCCAGCCCCTGGCCCCAGGGAGGGCAGCTATGGGACCCCAGTGCCCTGGAGATCATCTTCATCTTGGTAGTAAAAGCGCAGTCAACAGTGTACCCACACCTTCTCCTCCTTTTATTTTAGCTTTTTTTTCTTTTTTCCACTGAGAAAAATTTCCACTTACTTACAGAAATTACCTTCCCGTGCTCAGCGCTGCAGGATGCTGGTCCCAGATCCTGCAGCTGAAGCTGGAAAAGCAACAGGAAACCTGTTGTGTCCAGTATCCGCTCGGAGATCCTGCGAGTATCTGCACAGCATGAAACCCCTCCCAAACACCAAACCGGTGAGTTGTGCCTCCCACTTCAAACACTGTGGAGAGCAAGAGTGGTCTTACTCTTGTTCTGGAGAAGATGAGCCTGCAGGCTGGAGCCCACAGCTCTCCCCAGGAGTCCCCACCTGGGCAGAGAGCAGCCTCCTGCTCTGGCAGCCAAGTAAGACCCTGGGCACTCACAGCACACCCGACCCAGCTCCAAACAGAGACGCCATCCCAAAACGCTGCAGTGGACAGGGCCCAGCCACCTTCCTTCGCTGGATAAAGCCCTAAATTAAGAACTCCTGGTCTCCAAAAACCCCAAGCAGAGCCCAGGCTCACACCTCGCCATGGGTGGCCCTGCTGTGTGGCCCAGTTTTGTTTCTCCAGGGAGCTGCTCACATTCCTGTTCCTACCAAGTGCAGCTCTGACCCTGCTGCTCCTCTTTCTCCCCTTCCTCAGGGCAGTGGCTCTACAGCCAAGCTTGACGGGGCTCTGGGAAACCCCAGCGTTAAGCCAAGACCTCCCCGAGCGTGGACAGGGATGGGACTTGGTGGCCCTGGAGGATGGCAATCAGTGCTGGCAGTGTCCGAGGGCCATCAGAGCTCTAGTGTTGTCTCCTCAGCACATTGAAGCAATCAAGCCACCATACGTGGTCTTCAGAATTTCAATCTCCTGTAAAATTACCTCCAAGAACAGTCAAAACCTTGTCCAAACTAGTAACAAATGTGAAATACTCGGCCCCAGCCCTGCTATGAGGAAAGGAGCTCAAGCAACACTTCCCACGTGCTCTGAGCCCATCGGAGTTTGGCTTCTTTCAACTCCTTCCAAGCCTCTCTTCGTGCTTTCCCAGCCCTGACCCCTTCTGATGACTCCTGCCTAGGAGACAACAAGGCAGCCGGTTTGAAACTCCATCACCACGGACGTGCCGGTGCGGGGTGCCAAATCTCTGTGCCCCTCGCTCCCGTTCAAAGGTAAAATCGCTCCTCATCCACTGCAGGCACAGGGAAAGACAACAAGCGCTGGACTCTCTAAATTCCTTTCACTGGGATCCAATAAAAACCTTGGCAGTTGCCGGCCTTCCTGCCGGAAACCCGATATCCCAGAAATAAACACACTTTCCACTTTGAAGGGCTGCAGCGCAAATCTCTGTGCCCCTCGCTCCCGTTCAAAGGTAAAATCGCTCCTCATCCACTGCAGGCACAGGGAAAGACAACAAGCGCTGGACTCTCTAAATTCCTTTCACTGGGATCCAATAAAAACCTTGGCAGTTGCCGGCCTTCCTGCCGGAAACCCGATATCCCAGAAATAAACACACTTTCCACTTTGAAGGGCTGCAGCGGGCTCTGCCTCTGCCGAGCTGCTCCCCCCGCTCACCT